TACCATTTTCAGACTTTTACTTATTGATTTATTTACTCACTGAGTTTGGCAGTACTCATTTTACTCCCTGCACCCTGTGTGCAGATACAGGTATTTTCTGAGCTTGGTGGCAGTTGTCATTGGAGTTAGCAAGGTAGCTGTCTGGCGATCGTGGCTCTGCTTTCTCCCTCTTTATTCCTCCTTATGTAATATTGCGATTTTTCCGACCATTTCGGTCTTGATGTGACTAGACAATTATAGTAGATGCTCATGACTAGTGACACCCCGGTATCGGGCTGAGTTGGATTGTATTCCCCGAATTATTTTGTATTGTCATTGTTACTTCTGAATTTATATCATGTTTAGACATAATGCTTATTGTTTAATTGCTTAAAGACTGGATTGGAAATGTGTCGGCTGGCCTTGTCTTCACGAGAGGCGCCATCACGACCGGATCTGGGTTTTGGGTCGTGACAGATACCTGTTCGGAAAATAACACATTCTACATTAAAATTCCCTTCAGATTCACAAGATGAAGATGATACGAAATATTGAACGGGGGTTATGTCAACTCCTACCAATATATGCTTGGTCGCCCTATAGTAAAAGAAAGCGAAGTTGGAAATTTAAGTCAAAGGTAAATTGATGAAATGTAGGTATACCCTATTTGAAATACTGGATCAGGTTCACATTCCATGTGATTTGGTTGAGAAGGATGGACAACAAAACTGCTGCTTCCAGCTGATGCATTACAAGTCCATGGAAATGGAAGAGCTCTAATTCCTTGTCCTTCTGCCTCTAGCTGCCAATACAAGAAAACAAACTCTTCATTACTATATATGTATATACAGACTCCACAAAGCAGTATATATATATCTATATATATATATATATATATATATATATATCACTACAAGAAAAATGCTCAATAGCGAAGGGAAAAATGGTCCCTAAAAGTAAGAAATTGATCCCAAATGGTTAATAACGACCAGATCACCTGGTCCTCATAGCTTCCGTCGCTGGGCTAGCTATTAGACTTATAAACTACACTAGACTTCGTGTGCTATCATTGTTGAGCTTAACTCTCAACTTTGATAATAGGTTTTATGTAGTTTTCAATTTTTATTTCTTTCATTATTTAGGATACTATCATGACATGTTTTGTTTCCTTTTTCCTATATATATAAAAACTAGCCCTAGGCACTGCCTAGTGAATTTTTTTAAAAAAAGATGGATAAGTGCAGCTCAATTTTTACTAACTCTTTTTTCTTTTTTGCAGGAAAAGTTACTGTTTTCATGCCTTCTCATATTATACGAATTCATTGGGTGGTATTAGCACCTAGTGCTCATTTCCTTGAAGGAGGTAATACGAGAAGCACAAGCATGAAGGCGAAGAGACCATCCAGTTCTTCAAGTTTCAGTATAAGAAGCAGCACATTTGAGAGACAAAGGATTACAGGTCAAATAGAGAGCAATGCTACAGGTAGTAGAGGCAATATTCACTCTGGCATACACAAGAGCAATGCATCAAATTAGGAACACAGAAATAGGCTGGACACAACTATGCACCAGTGGTATTTGAACTTTGGATCAGAAGATTGGAACATTGAGGTACAGATCACCTTGACAGAGGTTGATACAGGGAGCCAGGCATATGGTGAGTTTTCAGCGTGTATGGCATATTTTACGATGGAATCTCAACTGGTGGTATTAGTGTTATGCACTCATTCCACTAAGAGGAAATCACAGATATATAGATACATAGGAAAAAAGAAGGGCAATATGATGCCCAGGTGTTACTTCATATGTAGTCACTGGTGGCTAGCTAAAGTAACAACACATGAAGAGTTTGGACTAGATGATCAAGAGGAGGATCACACCTCAGATACACAGGAAGTAATCCAAATAACTACAAATATACAATTGCAGCAACAAACCCACGCAGGTACTCACAAAAGGAACAGCTGCACACATGATCGTGGATGATGCAAAGGTGCAGGAAACACTACTGAAAGCAGGTCCTTCTTCTGGCCCAACTTCCTAGTGGTGGTATTAGTACTTAGTGCTTAATCCACTGGAGGGCAAGCTGGGGAAGGCATACGCATCATAACAAATGTCACAAGAGATGGAAATAAGGTATCTAGTTTGTTGTTGATGAGGCAGCACTTTCTAGCTAGAATTTTGGAGGTTATACCATATGGTACAGCAAGAAACTCAGCTCATATAGACATTAAGATATGCAAGGAACACAGCAGAGCTGAAAATTCAAAACTCCACTCATGGATCACTTGTGAATTAGGATTGAGAAAAGGCAAGGACAACACAGAAATTGACCTGTGGACAGTATATGCAGCAACAGCAGATAGGCGTACTGGGAATCCTGAAGGTTCAGAAATAAAGGAATGCAACAGAACAAGCAAGAATGAACTACAAATGCGTGAAACTGCAATACCTGGCTATGTTTGTAATAGGCTAGTTTTTATACATGTTTTAGACCTTATTAGTCATATTATTATTAGATCATATTGTAATATCAATATTGGGCCTCACAAGTCCAAAATTGATAATAGGATCGATGTAACGCACATACATTATCGTCTTACTCCTAGTAAGACAACATGCTACTTTGTTTTTAATTATTATATATATAAAAACTAGCCCTAGGCTCATAGCCTAGTGGATTACTTAAAAAAAATGGATAAGCAAGCACACAGTTCCAATATTCAACACATAAATCAAAATAATAACATAAATTAAGAAAATATTGTCGAAAGGGTGGAATAAAATACTCTAAATTCTTAAGGTCTCAGTAAACATCAGAAAAATGTTTACTGAGAAATGCAAGTTGCAGTTATGATTCCCAGATTATTGTATCCTCTTACTTATATACTAGACATACTTAACGGTCAATAAAATTGCTTTCTTTTCTTTTTTACTCTATTTAAAGGAAAAATCAAAAACTCAATAACCCAAAGGCTAACAGAGTAACGCCAAATCCAGTAGTCTTGAATATTACTTCCTTTGCTAAACCTTGATGTCCATCGTGCAAAGGTAAAAAAAGTAAAAATTCGTGGCTAAACCTTTAGTGGCCATCCATGGCCAAATCAAGTGTCAATCAGAACTTACTCATAAATTACAAAGAGTTAATAACAAAAAGGAGAAATAGAGATATAAACTAACTTAGAAGATGGGCCCGCCACAAATCTGTCGTACGCCGCCTGTTGCCTTGCCGTTCACCGCTTGCTGCCGTCCACTGTCAGTCGCGCGGATGTTGCAGAAAACAACTAAAGAAACAAAAAATTGTAGAACCCTTTTTTTCAATTTTTGATTCAATTGGAAAAAACAAGCACGAAGAAGAAAGAAGAAACAAAACTGATTAAAGAAAGAGAAATTGAACTCACTATTGATTAGGTGGATAATCTAAGAGAGATGAATTTTCGCACCAACCTAGCTTCTAAGTTCTCCGCAACTTTTGAATTTTGATGAAGATTAGCAGCGAGCCTCTTAGGAATTCTGATGAAGATTAGCAGCGAGCCTCCACAACATAAATTAAGCAAATATTGTCGGAACCCTACTTTTTAGTTTTGCCTCTTAGGGATACAAGTTTAGGGATTTTGTGAAACTATTTTGGAGGGATTAAGCGTGAAAGTGAATTTGGAGGGATTACCCTGAAATTTTGGAGCGTTTTTTCTTTTTTACTTTAATTTTTTATCGTCAGTTCGCGCGCTATATCCCGCTGAAATCAATTATTATAGACCAGATATTAAATTTTGTATAGACCAGAATAAGTCTGCTCGTATATTTAGAAAATAAATTTGCCTTTTAAAGACAAAAAAAAATTCTCATCCCTATAAGTACACTTTTAGGGACCATATTTAAAACTTGTCGCTAAATGCTGGTCCCTAATAAGGCTTTATATATATATATATATATATATATATATATATATATATATATATATTTCTCAAGTTTGAATGAATACCGATGATAGTTCCGAAGAAACCTTAATCTTCAGTTGCTAGTTCACATCACCAAGTTGACGCTCCTGACAACATAATGCATTATCATGTCAAAATAGATTATTACACTGTAGTTCTCCATTTTTTTATTACCTCGGCTAACTCAGAAATCCTATTAATCATTATGTTCCTTATATATATTTCTTTTGTCTAGCAGGGACAAGGCACTTAAACAATGGTTCAAGGATGATGTCGAGCAAGGATCAGTTACAAGGCACTTAATATTTTATCTTTTTTGGGATATGTATATGCGTACAATTAGAATGCACAATTAAGTGTCGGGTAGTATATATGTAATTGACTTTTTAGTAATGATAATATTTATAATATTTGGCTTGAGAAATTCTTTTGGTGTTTGTCAAGCATTATTGGTTGCTTTAATATTGATAGTCAATTGATATGAATATCTCTATATGAAATTTGAGAGAATTAGGTTCCTACTGGCATGGAAATATATATAATTTTGGTCGTTGTAATTTCTGAGAAAATAACTTTTAGTGGCGACATAGTTTTGTCACAAAATTAGTAACTGTTGCGATAGATAAGTTGCCACAAAAGGTCAATTTCTTTCGTGGCGACTTTAGTCGCTACAGATAACATTGTGTCTTTCATGGTTAAACCTTTTGTGGCCACTTTAGTCGCTACTAAATGACATTTATAGTGGCGACATAATCTTGCCACTAAACATAAATATTTTTTGTGTGGCAATTTTAGTCGCTACTAAAGGACATTCATAGTGGCGACATAATCTTGCCACTGAACATAAATATATTTTGTGGCGATAGTAGTCGCTGGTAAAGGTGAATATATAGTGGCGACCCATCTAATATTTGTTCTTATGGAACAATTTTTTGTAGCGTTTTTTTCAACCTTTTGTGGAAACTCTGTCGCCACAAAATATGTTCTTTTTATGGTGACTATAAATGTCTCCACTCATAATCTTTAGTTACAGTTTTCCTTGTGGCAATACAAAAGTCGCCGCTAATACCTTTTAGCGACTCCTTCGGATTTTGTGGCGACATTAGTCGCCACAATAAGGGTAATTTCTTGTAGTGTTCCCAAGGTCGCTTAGATTTTTCATTAGACGACTCACATTCTATTTTATACGGATAAATATTCTCAAGGAATTCAGCATTATCTGATTCAAATACCGTATTAATATGAATGTCGGGATTTTCTGATTTATGAACAAGAAAACGATATGCCATACTATTTGTTGCATATCCTACGAAAACGCAATCAACGATTTTTGGTCCAATTTTTACCCTTTTGGGTTTAGGAACTTGCACTTTAGCCAAACACCCCTACACTTTAAAATATTTTAAGTTGGGTTTCCTTCCTTTCCATTTTTCATATGGAATATATGGATTGCGTTTTGCTATGGGGAACTCGATTCAGTATTCGATTAGCTGTAAGAATATCTTTCCCCCACAAGTTCTGAGGTAAACCAGAACTTATTAACAAGGCGTTCATCATCTCCTTTAACGTTCTATTCTTTCTTTCCGCAATTCCATTAGATTGCGGTGAGTAAGGGGCAGTTGTTTGGTGAATAATGCCATTTCCCAAACATATTTCTTCAAAGGGAGATTCATATCCGCCGTCTCTATCACTTCTTATCATTTTGATCTTTTTGTTTAATTGCGTTTCAACTTCATTTTTGTATTGTTTGAATGCTTCTATTGCTTCATCTTTACTATTAAGTAAGTAAATATAGCAATATCTAGTACTGTCGTCAATGAAAGTTATGAAATACTTCTTCCCACCGCGAGATGGTATTGACTTCATGTCGCAAATATCCGTGTGAATTAAGTCTAAAGGATTTGAATTCCTTTCAACTGACTTATAAGGATGCTTAATATACTTCGATTCCACACATATTTGACATTTCGAGTTATTGCATTCGAACTTAGGCAATACTTCCAAATTAATCATTTTTCGCAATATTTTGAAGTTGACGTGGCCTAAACGTTCATGCCATAAATTATTTGACTCAAGCTAGTAAGAAGAAGCTGAAATTTTATTCATATCAATGGCAATTACATTGAGTTTAAAAAGGCCCTCAGTTAGGTAACCTTTTCCTACATACATTTCATTCTTACTAACTACAACTTTGTCGGAAACAAAAACACACTTAAAGTCATTCTTGACTAGAAGTGATGTCGAGACTAAATTCTTCCGCATTTCAGGAACATGAAGAACATCTTTTAGAGTCACAATCTTTCTAGAAGTCATCTTCAAAGCTATCTTGTCCGTTCCTTCAATTTTTGCAGTAGCGGAATTTACCATAAACACTGTCCCGTTGGGTCCAGCGGGAGCATAAGAAGTAAACAACTCTTTGTTAGCACAAACATGTCGAGTTGCTCCCGAATCAATCCACCATTCTCTAGGATTTCCGACTAGGTTGCATTCTGAAAGCATGGCACATAAGTCGTCTATTTCATCATTCTTCTCAATCATGTTTGCTTGACTTTTCTTCTTGTCCTTCTTTGGTGCACGACATTCAGTAGCCTTGTGTCCAACATGTCCACAATTGTGGCAATTACCTTTGAACCTCTTCTTGCTTGGATAATTCTTTGGTCCATACGGCTTCTTTCTCTTTTTACTCGTTGAAGCTTCCTCAACAATATTTGCACCCATTATTGTTGAATTTCCATGAGATTTCTTCTCAGCAGCCTTGTTGTCCTCTTCAATTCGTAGACGAACAATAAGGTCTTCAAGTGTCATCTCCTTGCGCTTATGTTTCAAGTAATTCTTAAAGTCCTTCCATAGCGGAGGCAGCTTTTCAATAAATGCCGCAACTTGAAACGCTTCATTTATGACCATACCTTCAATCATAAATTTATAACTAGTACAATAATCAATATCTTGAATAAAAATATTGACTCGTTTTATATCTTCAGCAAGGAGGTCATGAACAATAACTTGCAATTCATGGACTTGCGTTATGACAGATTTACCGTCAACCATTTTGAAATATAGAAATTTGGCGGCCACAAACTTCTTTAGTCCAGCATCTTCAGTCTTGTACTTCTTTTCAAGAGCATTCCATAATTCTCTTGATGTTTTCATGATGCTATAAACATTGTACAAGCTGTCTTCCAAGCAACTTAAAATATAGTTTTTGCATAAAAAGTCAGAATGTTTCCATGCCTCAGTGACCACAAATCGTTCATTTTCAGGAGTTTCTTCTCCCAGAACTGGAATGTCTTTGCTGATAAAGCGCTGTAAACTGAGTGTAGTCAGGTAAAAGAACATTTTCTGCTGCCAATGCTTAAAGTCCACACCGAAAAACTTTCCGGGTTTTTCTGCCGGTGCCATCGCCGGCGCAGGAGTTGTGTGACTTGAAGACGCATTTGTTGTTGCAGCAGTAGTACCAACAGAACCATTCTGTTGTTCCGCACTTGTTGCCATCTTTCTGTAAAAGAAATTGACAAACATAATTAGTATCTCGGTGAAGTTTTTATATCTTCAAACCAAATACAAACAACCGAGTTTTTATATCTCGAATTGAGTAGAAAGTCACAAAAACTTTAATCTCAAACTGGAGTAGAAAATCCGAAGATTTTATTCTCCAAAACGGGAGTAGAAAATCAATAAGATTTTAGTCTCCCAAACCAGAAAGTAAGATTGAATATAAAAATAAAATATTAAACTCTTTAAGCTTGTTAGAACTCTGTATTCAAAAAGCAGTAAATGAACAAACGTTAGTTTAAAAAACAAAAGCATAAAATTCCGAGCCCACAAGTTTCTTGTGTTTCCTTAAAGAATTTAATCCCCTCACAATGCCCAAGGTTGCAGATTAATTCTTCCCAGGATAGAACGGAATAACTATTCTGTGATAGTGGCACTTCAAATTACAGAATTTCGTCGAACTCAAATGGCAGAGCAAATCACACAAAATGCTTACGTTATTGGTTTTTAGAAAACAATGCAGAATGCAAAAGTTTGAGGGGAGTGATGTCAGATTTTTCGGTGGTGGAAAATGAGGCTAAGCCCCTCTATTTATAGCCAAGTTTTGCACTGTTTCTGAAAATGTTTGCAACCTTTCAGAACAGGTGTGGCTGTTGGAACAGATGGAAATAATCGCGGGAAACAACTAACGCATTTAAAATAATCCGGGAAAGAAAAACGGACCGTACCGGACCGGGTCGTGGGTAATTTCGGATTGAATTTTCGTTAATTAATTTAATTAATTAATTGAAAAGAATTTTGTCCAAAAAGATTAATCAATTAATCTTTGACCGAAGCCGAAGCCGAGCCGAGCGACGACGATGGCGCGAGGCACCTTCTTCTTAACTCTTTAAGAGCTAGAAGATGAGCTACTATATATATACACAAAGATTTCTTTTCTTCTTCCAATGAGGGACAAAGTGCATTAGTAAAGTGAACTAATTCAAAATTTCACTTCGCTCCATTTTTTTTCCCACCATTTTCCATTCACACCTCATTTTGTTATTAATAACAAAAGCCAACAGAACCTAGTAGCTTTGATTTAAAGCTCTGTATCTATTTTTAAAAATTCATTGAATGCATACAAATTATTATTTAGAACCTAATGACTTAAAATGATTGAAATTCCGAACACTTAAACTTCAAATCCTGGCTCCAACTCTACCAAACACAACATTATATTGAAAAATACTTAATTAATTACCTTCTCTTGTAGCAACCTCTACGGTCTTTCCCTCCTTGCTTGTTCTTCTTCTTCAATTCAGAAGTAGAATCTTTGGACTTCCGATCATCGGAATCAGCTTGATCAACCTCCTCGATCTGGAATGCGAAACCCCAAGTATTTAACTCAGTGCTAGCTTCACTAAAAGAGCTCCAAATTTTGAGAACAAGTTCATCAGCTGAAACTGAGTACCCATGATCTGCAATAGGCTGTTGGAGTAAAGTTTGAAGTTCAGTTGCAAATCCTTTTCCTTCAACCAGTTCTTTGATCACTCTAATTTTACGTGGGTTTTGATGTACTAATGGCTTCTCCATTTTAACTTAAAATTAGAATTTAGTGTCTGTGTGTGTGTGTGTTTTGGATAAGATGTGAGAAGTTGGTAGGGTTATTTAAGAGTGAAATGAAGGAGGTGAAGAAAAGAGATAAGAACGTGACAGGAAACTCCGAGGAAGCACGGACAAATAGGAAAAAGAAAATATAGAATTTCTTTTTTTCTTCTTCTAGAATTTGATGTCAACAAGTGACGTCAATAATTACGTAAAATATATTTTTGTTGGCCTATTTATATTTATAGTACTACTAGTTGTGTTATGAAATATTATTTTGTAGTGGAAGTCTATAACTCCTAAAGAAGTTACTCCCACTACTCTTCTCCATTATGTAGGTAACTCCCACTACTTCTCACCATTATAGTTGTAACTCCCACACCTCCATAACCTCCTCATGATCTTCCTCCATGATCTCAAATGTTTAATGTCATGTTTATGACATTCTTTTGTATGCCTCTATGTAATCCTATAAATAGAGGGTTTTGGCATCACATTGTATACACTTGAATACATAGAAGAAATAAGATTCTCTCCTCTCTTCCTCTCTACATTGTTGTCTATTTTATTGTTCTATATTGTTACTTTGAGCTAAGTTTCATAACACGTTATCAGCACGAAGCTTTAATCAACCTAGAAGATATGAATGGTCGACAACCTTGAACCAATTTGGTTGAACCAATGGAAATATGGGCACTATTACGTATGCCATATTAATGTTTAGTTTGCCTCTATTGTCCAGGGAGTATTATTTTTTAAATTATATCATAAATTGTGTATTTAGCTTATGTTAAAATTTAAGATTTGTAGTTGCTTTGTTTAGAAAAAAATAAGCTTTGATTTTAAGTTTTCATGCTCGTATGGCTGTATATGTCCACTAACTTTATTCCTAGTTCTAAAATTGATCTTATACAATTACAACATCATGCTATCGTTGATTTTTCATGATATTAAAAGATCTTTGTGAAACATTAAAAAGCATTCTGGTCATGTTATGTATTAACGAGGACTTTTAAGATCGATGGCCTAATCTAATTAGATGCAACATTTTTATGCTGATAACTGACAAAGTGATATCATTATGTTTTACTAGCCTATTTTGATATCATCTGTATTAAAACAGAATATGCTAGCAATAGTTATTACTTAAGATTATTTATTTTTTTAAGTTAAGTATAATTTAGTTATGTGTTTCAATTCTTGTGTGCATTTTATTTAATCATCATGCATTAGTTTGCAGTAATACATCACATAGTAATAACGCTACATTGGTGACTCTTTTATTGACATGTTTATATGTAGGATACTAAAACACGAGTTTGTACTCTATCATATTTTTTATTGGATAATAGTTCTTATCATTTCTATTTGCTTATTTTTTATGATAGATTTTACTATGTGGCTACATAAAATTATATTTCATTCCCTGATGTGAATCAGAGCCATTTGTGATAAACATTATATAAGGATAAGACGGTAGGTTCAAGTCCCAGTGCACCATGAGGGTAAGACATCGGGGTTTGAGTCATGAGGATCCATGATTTTGTAAAAGTTGGGTTCGAGTCCCAAACTCATTATGCCCTAACATGTCTTTATATGGGTCAGGCATTGGGTTTGAGTTCCAATGCACCATATGGATGACATAGTGATGACTAAAGAAAAATAATATATTTTTTATGGAAAAAGCATGAATCTTGTCCCACTTGATTTGCACCATTCTTGAAGTGAATGTTGGTAGCCAATGCATAATAAGTAAATGAAGACAAGTGGTTGGACCAATGAACATGGCATGCCATTGATCAAAAAAATAATAGTCATCATTATGGTAATTGTAAAAAATAAGAAACAATAAGGTTTCTCGAAGTAATCCCTTCAATAGGTGAAGGAAATATTTACCATCAAATTGGTATGAAAAAATTTATAAAGCACTCGCGACAATTATACTCCATTCTTTGAAGAGAATGTGACTTGTACATTGAGAATGAGATTCATTCCTGAAGGTGAATGTAACAATATGTGATAAAAGTAATGAATAAAGACGTGCAATGCATGATTTGGATACACAACACAACTCACCTCTAAGGGAGGTTTGAGAGAAAAGAGAATAATGAATATTACTGTGTGATTACATGAATATGTCCTTTGGTCGCGTACATGTGGTACGCCAAAAATAATTTGACATTTCTTATAAAAAGTTATTAAAGGCAACAGTAAAAGCAAAAATAATTTTGCTTATGATGATTTTGACCATGACAATTATTATGATATGATTTTTCTCCGTGAAGGAGACATTCACCATATGGATGGTGTGAACAAAGTATCTTGTAGTACAAAATCAATTACGAGCTCCGGAAGAGCTAAATTGTTACTACCCGTATGAATAAAAATTGTTCATGACATTGATATTGCAGTAAGTATCAAAAGAAACTTTTTGAGTTTCAAATGTATTAGCCAAAGTGGTTGGCATATTGAGACTATAAATGAAAGGAAGATTGATTATCTTCATATTACTATAACATACCGGGTAAATTATGAAAGTTACCGACTTTTCTCTATTTGTACTACAGATGAATAATTCATGATGATAGAATCACATGCCATAAGTAAACTAGAGGTTTATTGAAACAAATATTAGTTGGCATGACCGGTTGACCATCCCGGTTCAATTATTGATGTGAAAATTGATTGAGAATTCACATGGCATATATTTAAAGAATCTTTAAGAATTCTCTTGTGATGTTTTTTTTTTTCCTCATGATATACCAGTTTAAGGTTGGGATTGAATCCCTTGATATCTGGAACGAATAAAAAGGTGACATATATGTATGTATGTATGGGCTCAATCACCTGCCATGTAGACCATTTACTATTATATGATTTTAATAGATGCATCTATTATATGGTCACATGTGCGTTTGTTATCAACTTGCACTTTGGTTTTTGCAAGGTTGTTTGCTCAAATTATTAGAGCACAGTTCCAGAATATATTATGATAATTTATCTTGATAATGCTGGTTTAAATCCAAGTTGGTTTAGCAGAAATTGTATGCCTCCAATTATAGCTAAACCATTGGTTATGAGAACAAAATTCGCAAATAGAAATTTGGTATGAGGTATATTATTTAATATGCAACAGCACTTGTACGCATCTAGCCAACAAGTTATGATAAATTCTCCCCATCACAATTGGTTCGCGGTCAGGAACCAAATATTCCCATCTAGAAATATGGATGTGCTATATGATTTAATTGTGCTGCCACAATGCACGAAGATGGGTTCCCAAAGAAGGTTAAAAAATGTGTTGGTGATCCCGACATTAGGGAGAGAAAATGGGCAGCTGAAAAAGTGATATGTGAAATGAATTATTATAAATACATCTAGATCCTCGTACAAGAAAATGTGAACTTGAAGTTCAAGTGATAATTCATTTCTAAAATATTTCCAGGCACATTGCTGACCCAAAGCTAAATGTCATATTCCAGCTGCTAATGCTCCAATAGAATAACGTCCATGATGGATAGAGTTTATGGCACACATGAAGCGTAATAGACTAATCGGTTCAAAAGATAAAACTCCTTGAAGAAGGAGAGGAGCAAATGTTCAAGATGGTCATAATAAGGAGGCAAGTGCTTTATAAGAGCACTATGACATAACATTTTATAAGACCTCATGGGAGAGGCTCAAGTACCTGAAAATAATGAGATCTCGATAAGTTATGTCTTTATTGTGTGATGATGGAACCGATGTAAAATGATCGTCGATGATGTTGTTAATATAATGTAGCGCTCAATATTATTAATATTGACGAGGATCTTGAGCTCAAATCTGTCATGGAATTTGGACAGATAAATGATTGGCCAAATGAAAAATATGCAATGAAAATTGACTTCATCTGAAAAATATGAAGTTGGACGAATAATCCCAACAGCTGAAAGTATAAAGGCTATATGGAGATATTGAAATATGATTAGTATTATATTGCAAAAGGAATCCTTGATATAGATTTGTTTATTCTAACAAATATTGTCAATGTTTTGTTGTTTATGCAAATGCAGGCATTTATTGAAGTCCGTTCTTCGAACATTCTATTCGCATGTGAGAGTACTGCCATATTATCATATTACAAGGCAGTTAATTGTTGATACTTATTCAAGTCATGCCAAGATAAGCAACTGATAAAGCAAGGGGCTCAACACACAACAAACGTGTGACTTGACTTTGAAGAGAAGATTCCAATAATACTGAAGATAATGTTGTTTGCTTATATCAATTGAAAGAAGGACTATCAAAGGAGACAAAACAAAAGCACATTCACCAAAGTTCTTCAACAAATTTGTTCAAGTGATAATTTGACAAACTTCTTCACAAGACATTGTGGATCTCAATATTAGAGAAGTTGTTATACAAGCTTGGAATTCGTCGTCTCCGAAGAATAAAGTGATGTTTTCATCAGGGGGAGGCAAATACGCGTTGTACTCTTTTTTCCTTAGCTAAGATTTTATCCCACTAGGTTTTTCTGGCAAGGTTTTTAATGAGGCAGCAAATAATGCGTATTACAAGATATGTGTACTCTTTTTCCTTCACTAAGATTTTTTCCCACAGGGTTTTTTCTTAGTAAGGTTTTAACGAGGCACATTATCTATAGACATCCAAGGGGGAGTGTTATGAAATATTATTTTATAGTGGATGTCTATAACTCCTAAAGAAGTTACTCCCACTACTCTTCTCCATTATGCAGATAACTCCCACTACTTCTCACCATTATAGTTGTAACTCCCACACTTCCATAACCTCCCCATGATCTTCCTCCATGATCTCAAATGTTTAATGTCATGTTTATGGCATTCTTTTGTATGCCTCTATGTAATCCTATAAATAGAGGGTTTTGGCATCACATTATATACACTTGAATACATAGAAGAAATAAGATTCTCTCCTCTCTTCCTCTCTACATTGTTGTCTATTTTATTATTCTATATTGTTACTTTGAGCTAAGTTTCATAACAGTTTTGCGTATAATTTAACTATCTTGGACATGTCTGCTGACAAACGTGCCTATGATATCTTTTCCTTTTTGTTTCTTTCTTCATTTTTTCTTCGACCTTTAATTTCTCTTCTTCTTTTTCAGAAATAA